TGATATTGGCCTTGGAGCAGAATGTAACGAGAACAATGAGTGCATTTTCATCTCATACCATTTTAAATTGACTCTCTTTCTTAGAGAGGCTAATTTAATTTCCCCCTGCAAAGGATATCATTAAAATAGTTAAGTAAGTATATATTATTCTATTCCAATGTTATCAAAGCCGTAGTAGATGGGTTCTATTATTAAGAATAACTATTTTAACCTCATGTATTAGTCCAAAGCAGAGATCAATTACTGTCACCAACATGGATATTTAAAGAAAATGGACTTCACTTTATTTTAGGATAAGCCTCTGGCGCCAAGCTCACATATTTAATGGTATAGCCATGACTTGATGAAAAGGCGTCGACAACCGGATTGTTTTTGGCTAATAAAATGCTAAACGCTCGTAATCCAATGTGCTGGTTTTGTTTGTCCGTCATTGAAGTGAGTTGTTTCCACTCATCTCTCTTTTCTCCTCTCGTTTTAGATCACTTCCTGTCTTTGTGTGTTTTCCCGCCAATTTTGATTGTCTGCCCCTCCCTCATTGGTTTCACCTGTCCTTCGTTAGCCTTGCATTCATTAGTGACTCAAAGTTATACAAGCCAAGTGTGTTCGATCACTGTTATCTACCTGCGTGCCGTTTGAACTCTCGGCCTATAAGATGTCTTCATCATTTTAGTATCTTCACAGACTCTGCCAGTGTTTGATTCTGCATTTGAATCCTCCCTGTTTCACTGACACAATCATTGTCAGAAGATTGGTGATCGGTTCCTCACAGACATGTCACATTTGAACATAGTTATTGTGACATAACTCATAATTTGTGGACTAAAAAATGAAGCCTTGAGTTTGGCGCTTTGGTTGCTGCCATCTTGTTTTTTTTCAACCAGAAGTGACACAAAAGGGTTGAACTCAGAACAACCAAATACATTTTTAGGTAACCAAAATATCGCAAATAACTTTCATCAACAGAAAACACACAGACTGATAAGGATACAGTTCCAGGAAACAATGGAGAGCAACCAGACTGGACAACATGTGGTAGTAAGTTGTAAATCAAGATAGCTCCGCACTAAATTGGACCATCATTTACAGAGTGAACATAGTGCTGTATTGAAGAAGACTAAAATGAGATACAGGCCCTAAACTTATCAGGAAATTGTCGAATTATGTCATAAATCAATTGAAAAGCATTCGGTAGGGACAGCGTCTCAGAGACTTCAATGCATTAATGTTTGCTCTTTACACGGACTGTTTACCTGCATGCAACCAAGTCCAATGTTGTCCTACAGACTGCATTCATATGGGGATTATAGAGGTTACATATTCAATTAAATTCATCCTCAATAGACTCTGAGGAAACTCTTACATAACTAATACCTCAATCTGCCAGAGTGTTTATTTTCCAGCTAAGGATAAATGTTTTGCTTGTTGACAGTTTTGCAGCTGATTCATGGGATCAGGTTTGCAGCCGGCCTCTGGGACACAAAGAGGCCCTGACAGGTCTGTGCAAAATACACTTTTTATATCTCTTCTACATCAACATGTGTCCCCTCTTCTCCATGTCTCTTCTACATCAACATGTGTCCCCTCTTCTTCATGTCTCTTCTACATCAACATGTGTCCCCTCTTCTTCATGTCTCTTCTACATCAACATGTGTCCTCTCTTCTCCATGTCTCTTCTCCATCAACATGGGTCCCCTCTTCTTCATGTCTCTTCTACATCAACATGTGTCCCCTCTTCTTCATGTCTCTTCTACATCAACATGTGTCCCCTCTTCTTCATGTCTCTTCTACATCAACATGTGTCCCCTCTTCTTCATGTCTCTTCTACATCAACATGTGTCCCCTCTTCTTCATGTCTCTTCTACATCAACATGTGTCCCCTCTTCTTCATGTCTCTTCTACATCAACATGTGTCCCCTCTTCTTCATGTCTCTTCTACATCAACATGTGTCCCCTCTTCTTCATGTCTCTTCTTACATCAACATGTGTACCCCTCTTCTTCATGTCTCTTCTACATCAACATGTGTCCCCTCTTCTTCATGTCTCTTCTACATCAACATGTGTCCCCTCTTCTTCATGTCTCTCTACATCAACATGTGTCCCCTCTCTTCATGTCTCTCTACATCAACATGTGTCCCCTCTTCTTCATGTCTCTCTACATCAACATGTGTCCCCCTCTTCTTCATGTCTCTTCTACATCAACATGTGTCCCCTCTTCTTCATGTCTCTCTCTACATCAACATGTGTCCCCTCTTCTTCAATGTCTCCTCTACATCAACATGTTTCCCCTCTTCTCATGTCTCTCTACTCAAATGTGTCCCCTTTCTTCATGTCTCCCTCTACATCAACAGTGTCCCCTCTTCTCATGTCTCCTCTACATCAACATGTGTCCCCTCTTCTTCATGTCTCCTCTACATCAAACATGTGTCCCCTCTTTCTCATGTCTCCTCTACATCAACATGTGTCCCCTCTTCTTCATGTCTCCTCTACATCAACTGTGTCCCCTCTCTTCTCCATGTCTCTTCTACATCAACATGTGTCCCCTCTTCTTCATGTCTCTCTACATCAACATGTGTCCCCTCTTCTCATGTCTCTCTACATCAACATGTGGTCCCCCTCTTCTTCATGTCTCTTCTACATCAACACTGTGTCCCCCTCTTCTTCATGTCTCTTCTACATCAACATGTGTCCCCTCTTCTTCATGTCTCTGTCTACATCAACATTTGTCCCCTCTTCTTCATTTCTTCTACATCAACAGGTGTCCCTCTCTTCTTCATGTCTCTTCTACATCAACATGTGTCCCCTCTTCTCCATGTCTCTTCTACATCAACATGTGTCCCCTCTTCTTCATGTCTCTTCTACATCAACATGTGTCCCCTCTTCAGGTAACCCCCCCCCCCTTATCACCTGAATCTCCTCTAGAGCTCCATTGAGTTCTTTGTAACCAAATGTCTCTCAGAGGGGCGTGGGGAGGGGCTCCTTATTTTCATCTAAAGTAACAGACAGAGAATCAGCACTTTGGAAACAGGGCTGAAACAGAGCGGATTATGGGTAATGCTGCAATGATTCGTTTGGTGTTTCAGCCAATCAGAGACAGGCTCTGTATATATCTGAGACCTGTGATACATTGATGAGGAACAATATAATAGGAGACCTTTAAACAAGTCTGCTCTGTCTGTCTCACTCTAACACCCCCACCATGCCCACCTTTGGCTGGCCGAAGTGCTCCAGAGACATGGTGATGACGTTGATGCAGATGATGAAGGTGATGGTAAGGTCCAGGTAGTGGCTCGTACACAGAGTGTGGATGGCCAGCCGTGTTTGGCCGTATGAGGCGTAGTAGGGCACCTTCTGGGCCTCTGGAGACAGAACAATCATTGAGAGGGAAATTGAAGCACTGAATGGAGGAAAAGCAGAAAAAGGGACTGGACTATAGGGAAATAAATTATGTTACGAGTGAGGGTGATGGCAATGGAAATAAGATATGGAAAAGTGAGAGAAACAGATATCTGATTCAAAATAGGAGAAGCGTGCGGAGAAAGCGAAAACGAGGTGCAAACAGAATGATTTATGTAATGATGTATTCATGCCAAAGGAGTGAAGAACGAGGGGCAGAGCAAATGAAGAAAACGCAGAGATAAAACCGTGAGATAATATGAAATAAATAAGTAAATAATTGATGAATATGAGAGGAAGGTTGAATAGTTTTAAATTAATTGAAATAATGACTCAGTAAAAGTCATTCAGGATGTGAAATGAGACGTCTTGGGTATAAGCCATTTGGATTATAACCGTGAGAGAGTGCAGTCCTTAAGAAGATCAGTATGTAGTGTCTCTACTTTAAAGAGTCCTCTCCTGCTGATGTTCAGGTGTATATCAGTATGTAGTGTCTCTACTTTAAAGAGTCCTCTCCTGCTGATCTTCAGGTGTATATCAGTATGTAGTGTCTCTACTTTAAAGAGTCCTCTCCTGCTGATGTTCAGGTGTATATCAGTATGTAGTGTCTCTACTTTAAAGAGTCCTCTCCTGCTGATGTTCAGGTGTATATCAGTATGTAGTGTCTCTACTTTAAAGAGTCCTCTCCTGCTGATGTTCAGGTGTATATCAGTATGTAGTGTCTCTACTTTAAAGAGTCCTCTCCTGCTGATGTTCAGGTGTATATCAGTATGTATTGTCTCTACTTTAAAGAGTCCTCTCCTGCTGATGTTCAGGTGTATATCAGTATGTAGTGTCTCTACTTTAAAGAGTCCTCTCCTGCTGATGTTCAGGTGTATATCAGTATGTAGTGTCTCTACTTTAAAGAGTCCTCTCCTGCTGATGTTCAGGTGTATATCAGTATGTAGTGTCTCTACTTTAAAGAGTCCTCTCCTGCTGATGTTCAGGTGTATATCAGTGTGTAGTGTCTCTACTTTAAAGAGTCCTCTCCTGCTGATGTTCAGGTGTATATCAGTATGTAGTGTCTCTACTTTAAAGAGTCCTCTCCTGCTGATGTTCAGGTGTATATCAGTATGTAGTGTCTCTACTTTAAAGAGTCCTCTCCTGCTGATGTTCAGGTGTATATCAGTATGTAGTGTCTCTACTTTAAAGAGTCCTCTCCTGCTGATGTTCAGGTGTATATCAGTATGTAGTGTCTCTACTTTAAAGAGTCCTCTCCTGCTGATGTTCAGGTGTATATCAGTATGTAGTGTCTCTACTTTAAAGAGTCCTCTCCTGCTGATGTTCAGGTGTATATCAGTATGTAGTGTCTCTACTTTAAAGAGTCCTCTCCTGCTGATGTTCAGGTGTATATCAGTATGTAGTGTCTCTACTTTAAAGAGTCCTCTCCTGCTGATGTTCAGGTGTATAACAGTATGTAGTGTCTCTACTTTAAAGAGTCCTCTCCTGCTGATGTTCAGGTGTATATCAGTATGTAGTGTCTCTACTTTAAAGAGTCCTCTCCTGCTGATGTTCAGGTGTATATCAGTATGTAGTGTCTCTACTTTAAAGAGTTCTCTTTTCCACTTTTCTCTACTGATGTATTGACCTCCTCTCTTTCTCTATTCTAAAATGACCTCCACCCTCCTCCATTATTTACTCTCCTCTTCCCTTCCCAGGACTCATACTGTAAATCCATCCATCATACTTCCCCCTCCCTCTCTCCTTCTTGCTCTCCCAATGCTATATTCCTTTTTTACATCACCCCCATTTTTCTTCCAAACCCTCCTCTACCTCTTCATGTATTTTTCATTTCATCCTCTTGGCTTCAAAGCCTCTATTCCCTCGTCCATTTTCACACCTCATTTCCCTTGAAGCAACATTCTTATTTCCAGAGGTGGAAGTAACAATACATATTAACAATAATAATAATAATAATAATAATAATAATAATAATAATAATAATAATAATAATAATAATTAATAATAATAATAATTGTAATAATAATAATAATAAAAAAGTTGCTACTACTAATAACAAAAACACGAAATACAATCAAATAATAATCAAAAATACATGATATGAATATAAAGAGAGAAAATTCAAATACAAATATTAAATAATAATAACAATAACAATGAATGACGGAAACAAATAAATAAATAAATTATGAATCGATAAATAAATAATAAACAAACAAACAAATAAATTAAAAAAATTGTTTAACATGTAACAGAGTATTTCTACACTGTGGTAAAGCTAATATTACTTTATTAAAATGTCTGAGTACTTCTTCCAGTGCTGCCAACATCTCTACCCCCCCCACCCTCTTCTACCCTCCACCTATTCAGGTGTATATCAGTATGTAGTGTCTCTACTTTAAAGAGTCCTCTCCTGCTGATGTTCAGGTGTATATCAGTATGTAGTGTCTCTACTTTAAAGAGTCCTCTCCTGCTGATGTTCAGGTGTATATCAGTATGTAGTGTCTCTACTTTAAAGAGTCCTCTCCTGCTGATGTTCAGGTGTATATCAGTATGTAGTGTCTCTACTTTAAAGAGTCCTCTCCTGCTGATGTTCAGGTGTATATCAGTATGTAGTGTCTCTACTTTAAAGAGTCCTCTCCTGCTGATGTTCAGGTGTATATCAGTATGTAGTGTCTCTACTTTAAAGAGTCCTCTCCTGCTGATGTTCAGGTGTATATCAGTATGTAGTGTCTCTACTTTAAAGAGTCCTCTCCTGCTGATGTTCAGGTGTATATCAGTATGTAGTGTCTCTACTTTAAAGAGTCCTCTCCTGCTGATGTTCAGGTGTATATCAGTATGTAGTGTCTCTACTTTAAAGAGTCCTCTCCTGCTGATGTTCAGGTGTATATCAGTATGTAGTGTCTCTACTTTAAAGAGTCCTCTCCTGCTGATGTTCAGGTGTATATCAGTATGTAGTGTCTCTACTTTAAAGAGTCCTCTCCTGCTGATGTTCAGGTGTATATCAGTATGTAGTGTCTCTACTTTAAAGAGTCCTCTCCTGCTGATGTTCAGGTGTATATCAGTATGTAGTGTCTCTACTTTAAAGAGTCCTCTCCTGCTGATGTTCAGGTGTATATCAGTATGTAGTGTCTCTACTTTAAAGAGTCCTCTCCTGCTGATGTTCAGGTGTATATCAGTATGTAGTGTCTCTACTTTAAAGAGTCCTCTCCTGCTGATGTTCAGGTGTATATCAGTATGTAGTGTCTCTACTTTAAAGAGTCCTCTCCTGCTGATGTTCAGGTGTATATCAGTATGTAGTGTCTCTACTTTAAAGAGTCCTCTCCTGCTGATGTTCAGGTGTATATCAGTATGTAGTGTCTCTACTTTAAAGAGTCCTCTCCTGCTGATGTTCAGGTGTATATCAGTATGTAGTGTCTCTACTTTAAAGAGTCCTCTCCTGCTGATGTTCAGGTGTATATCAGTATGTAGTGTCTCTACTTTAAAGAGTCCTCTCCTGCTGATGTTCAGGTGTATATCAGTATGTAGTGTCTCTACTTTAAAGAGTCCTCTCCTGCTGATGTTCAGGTGTATATCAGTATGTAGTGTCTCTACTTTAAAGAGTCCTCTCCTGCTGATGTTCAGGTGTATATCAGTATGTAGTGTCTCTACTTTAAAGAGTCCTCTCCTGCTGATGTTCAGGTGTATATCAGTATGTAGTGTCTCTACTTTAAAGAGTCCTCTCCTGCTGATGTTCAGGTGTATATCAGTATGTAGTGTCTCTACTTTAAAGAGTCCTCTCCTGCTGATGTTCAGGTGTATATCAGTATGTAGTGTCTCTACTTTAAAGAGTCCTCTCCTGCTGATGTTCAGGTGTATATCAGTATGTAGTGTCTCTACTTTAAAGAGTCCTCTCCTGCTGATGTTCAGGTGTATATCAGTATGTAGTGTATCTACTTTAAAGAGTCCTCTCCTGCTGATGTTCAGGTGTATATCAGTATGTAGTGTCTCTACTTTAAAGAGTCCTCTCCTGCTGATGTTCAGGTGTATATCAGTATGTAGTGTCTCTACTTTAAAGAGTCCTCTCCTGCTGATGTTCAGGTGTATATCAGTATGTAGTGTCTCTACTTTAAAGAGTCCTCTCCTGCTGATGTTCAGGTGTATATCAGTATGTAGTGTCTCTACTTTAAAGAGTCCTCTCCTGCTGATGTTCAGGTGTATATCAGTATGTAGTGTCTCTACTTTAAAGAGTCCTCTCCTGCTGATGTTCAGGTGTATATCAGTATGTAGTGTCTCTACTTTAAAGAGTCCTCTCCTGCTGATGTTCAGGTGTATATCAGTATGTAGTGTCTCTACTTTAAAGAGTCCTCTCCTGCTGATGTTCAGGTGTATATCAGTATGTAGTGTCTCTACTTTAAAGAGTCCTCTCCTGCTGAGGTTCAGGTGTATATCAGTATGTAGTGTCTCTACTTTAAAGAGTCCTCTCCTGCTGATGTTCAGGTATATATCAGTATGTAGTGTCTCTACTTTAAAGAGTCCTCTCCTGCTGATGTTCAGGTGTATATATCAGAATGTAGTGTCTCTACTTCTCCTCTTCTTCTCCATGCGACGCTGGCGTTTCTCCTCCCGTCTCTTGGCCTCCTCCACCTCCTGGTGCTGCCGGCACTTGTGGAAGTTCTCCACCACCACGCCCACGAACATGTTGAGGACGAAGAAGCTGACGATCAACAGGAAGGAGATGAAGTAGAGCAGCATCCACGGGCTGTTGTTGGTCGACGGCTGGAGGTCAGGAAGACAGAGAGTAGGAAGATCAGGAAGGAGGGACAAAGAGAAGAAGAATATGTGACGGATTAATTGGAAAATGGTGGTGTTTGCGACAGGAAGTAAGGAAGACGTAAGGGAGGACTGGTCAACGGCTGGAGGTGAGGAAGAGAGAGTTGGAAGAACTAAGAAAAAGGAGAGAACTGGATGAGACACAAGCTAGGAAAATAGTAGAGTAGGTGGAAAGGAAGTAAGGATGACGAAAGGGAGGACTGGTCGTGATAAAGAGTTCACTCAGAAAGGTGAGGAACGCTCAAAGTGACACATAAGGAAAGAATGGAGGATAGGAACAAAGAGAATAATGTAAGTGATTGGTGAGAAAGGTCAGAAAGAAAATTGAAATATCTGAAAATAAAGTGAGAAATAAGAATGAGTACAAGACGCTGGAGGAAGAGGTTGGCTACTTCCCACGTCTGCATATCTGCGAGGGTCAACTATGGTCCTTAAATAATTATCTACAACGGTCTGCACAAACTGTACACCGTTTTTAGGCCGACGTCTGCCCATGCTCCAGACTCTAGTTCTGTTTGTGGCCTTTCACCTTTCGCTAATTCGCTGAGAAGAAGAACAATAAGGTAACAAAAGAGGTTTGAAAAGAGGTTGTTTGTTGACATTGGCCGTAAGGACTGTTAAAAACATGGATATAACTTGTCTTCTAGTGAAAGCAAAGAGTCGAATGGGGTCATACTGATACAAGAGTCAATTGTGTTATGAATGAAACCGACAAGCGACACGAACAGTATGTACGAGCCTTTAAGAAAACTGAAGATGCCAGAAGGGTCGCTCAACGTAGAAACAGCCACCTCTGGAACCCTCCAAAGCTGAACATGTTCTATGTATGACTTGATGATTAGAAAGAGGACAGTACAGCAGGAAGACATAGGCAACGTTTGAAGTCAAGCTGAGGACGTTGCGGTTCACGGTCAAAGCCTTTTCCCTCAATCACCTGGTTTAAAGAGAACATCCCGAGAGGAGTTTTTACGCCTTCATCATGTCTGTAGAACTGACTAAGTGTTAGCTCTGAAATAGATCGGTGGTTGTTTCAGGATCTACCTAACCTCTTGGATTCAGTCCCTTTATCCCCATCCAGGATTAGCACAGGGTAATAATAGTTTAGTTTATTTATTTAAAGGACAGTGCACATTAATCCACATTGCTGTAAATGAGCCAGTATTAGCCAGCAGGCTCATTTTCAACTGTTGTCCTTGGTGTGAGGGAATATTTCTGTCTTTACTCCTAGAAATTAACCTTTTCTGTGTGTTGACATTTACGACCAACCCTGCTCTGTTATCTCTCTTAAGGAATGGGAGGCTCCAGCTATCTTGATAAACCAGTTCAACTCTCGGTCACGAAATGGTTTACGGCTGTGGGAACACCGGCTTCGAGGCCATTAAGGATCAGACGCAAGGGATTCAGGGTGCCCAGCTGTTTAGTCTATCTCCCCAAATATGTTGTTTACTCTCTCTGAACTAGTTAAAAGGTTTATCGAGAGAGAGGCGCGGCAGATTTGACATGGCAACCCACCAGTGCAGTCAGAACCTTTGACTGTGTGACTTGTGATGTGAATTTCTCCGGCCGATACTCGTAATAAACTACCAGTGTTTGACATCAAAGCTCCAACTCTCCTCGTGTCTCTCTGAGTCCTGACTCTCCATTGCTGCAGAAGTTTCCCTTACAAATGGCAAGATGTTAAATGACCACATCAAGACTAGAGAAATAAAAACATAATGAAATAGAGTACAGCAGACAACAATAGAGAGGAACAAACACACATATCATATGACATATCATCATACATTGATTGCTTTATGATAGGAGGTGAATAGAGCTATCATATGGTTAAGCACATAATATACATTTAAGGCAAACCCTCACGGATGTTTAGTTTGTAACCTGGGAAATGTTGCTTTAGTTTATCAATGGTAAACATGAGACTAGGGGAAGTCATCTATTGTTCCATTTTTAGAAACGATTGAAATGCCACTACACGCCCAATTACAGTCATCCAATTAACACCCCACAGCCAGTGCAGTCCAGCTGTCCTGCAGCTGCAACTGGGAACAAAGGCAGCGACAGAAATGGAGACAGTGTGAGGAACAGAGCGGGATGATTGGCTGCGGAGGAAGCCATCGCAGCGAGTCATTAGAAATCAAAAGAAACCAAGTTCAGGTGCAATGACATGAGAGTCAGGTTTTCAATCTGGAGGATGGTTAGGTGTTGAAAGCAAAGGGAGATGTGAGAATGGGATTAGTCAGTCAGAGTGTTGGACCCTGAGGAGAGCCAACTGAACCACCAGGATAATTCCCTCCCTTTAATAGATTCACTAATGTTCAAATAAAACCAATTATAAAGGGAATCTGCTGACTTTGAAGCCGCTTCAGAAGACTCGTGTGCACCCTGCCATCAGACTCTGAGTGTGTGATGCGTGCGATTATAGGAACGTTCATTGAAATTAAAGCATTACATATGTTAGTTGCAAGAATGTAAACTGCCATTTAAAATGTTCTGAAACTAATCTTAATCTTGTGTAAAATGGTGTAGATATTAGTAAGAATTTGAAGTGTGTTTACATGAAATATAAAGTCTAAAGTCAAAGATGAATCTTGATTGGGCCAAATTTGACCCGGAGTCACCCAAAACAATTCTGCTGGGTCTCCCCAGACCCGAACGCCAAAATACACACTTTTTTTAACTGAGCAGTTATATCAGGAATGAGAAGGAGAGAACGTTTAAAAACAGCTGGCAAATCAGGATGCCATTGTTAGTTTACAAAAGTTGCAGAAATTGTAAATAAAATGTATCTGCAGCTGTTTTTATATATAACTTTGGAATACAACGTATATATTCATGAACCCCAGTCTGTGGCTTAACCCTTGTGTTGTGTTCAAAAGCGGTTACCGTTCATGGTGCTCGCGGGTCACATTTTGACTCATGATTTATCTCAGTCCAAAACACTCAAAAATAACAACGATCATCCAACATTGTTTTAACTACATCATAAGTAACTTATTATGCATTCATAACCGTACAATCCTGTTGTAATTTTATTTTATGGCCCCTAAAAACATTACATCACATATTTAAGTAAAACATTTCACTCATTATATTTCCTATAGTGAAGACGGTGGATCGTTATCTGACTATAATAGACTCATATTAGAAAACAATACAACGTTTTTAATTATTGTTACAGTGGATGAAGGGGGAGGGGGCGTCTAAAGTCAAAGATGAATCTTGATTGGGCCAAATTTGACCCGGAGTCAACCAAAACAATTCTGCTGGGTCTCCCCAGACCCGAACGCCAAATTATAAAAAAAAGTGCATTTTGCATGATAGGTCCCCTTTAAGTAAAACGTGTGATTCAATTCACTCATTATATCTCCTATAGGGAAGACGGTGGATCGTTATCTGACTATAATAGACTCATATTAGAAAACAATACAACGTTTTTAATTATTGTTACAGTGGATGAAGGGGGAGGGGCGTCTAAAGTCAAAGATGAATCTTGATTGGGCCAAATTTGACCCGGAGTCAACCAAAACAATTCTGCTGGGTCTCCCCAGACCCGAACGCCAAATTATAAAAAAAAGTGCATTTTGCATGATAGGTCCCCTTTAAGTAAAACGTGTGATTCAATTCACTCATTATATCTCCTATAGGGAAGACGGTGGATCGTTATCTGACTATAATAGACTCATATTAGAAAACAATACAACGTTTTTAATTATTGTTACAGTGGATGAAGGGGGAGGGGCGTCTAAAGTCAAAGATGAATCTTGATTGGGCCAAATTTGACCCGGAGTCAACCAAAACAATTCTGCTGGGTCTCCCCAGACCCGAACGCCAAATTATAAAAAAAAGTGCATTTTGCATGATAGGTCCCCTTTAAGTAAAACGTGTGATTCAATTCACTCATTATATCTCCTATAGGGAAGACGGTGGATCGTTATCTGACTATAATAGACTAATATAAGAATCCAATCTCCCCAAAAAAAGTTTACAATGATTGTTACAGTGGATGAAGGGGGTGGGGGAGGGGTGTTTAAAGTCAAAGATGAATCTTGATTGGGCCAGATTTGACCCCGAGTCACCCACAACAATTCTGCTGGGTCTCCCCAGACCCGAACGCCAAAATACACACTTTTTTTAGAGACCTTCAGACCTGGCACAAATTGTCAAAATCAGTTTTGTAGTGTTTATCAATCAATCAATCAACAACTGTATTAATCCCACAAGGGGCAATTGGTTATGAGCAGCAGTTTATGTCATGAACACAGGCAGGAACATACAAGAAGAAAACACACAGATACACCCGGGAGCACAGATGTGGATCATTCCAATTACACTATAAATAGTTCAAAGCATCACAATAATAAATAAATAAATAAATAATCAAGTTAAAAGCCTTTTCAAGAATTTAAAAGTTTGAGTGCAGAAGGGATGAATGATTTAGAAAAGCGATTAGTCCTTTGAGCAGGTGAGCATATCTACGCCGTGATGGCAACAGACGAGATTCATGTGAAAGAACACGACCTGGAGAGTTCAGAGTGCTCTCTGCTTTCCGCAGAATCTGTTGGTTACAGAAGGAATTGAAGTCTCTCTGTTTCACGCCGATGATCTTGGAGCAGGTTTTAACAATGCTGTTCAGGCTGTATATATTATAATATATATTATATAGCTGTTGTGGAGGATATCATGAAGCCTTGTTCCGTAAAAAAAAAACTAGAGCGTAGTTATTATATAGTTTTAACTTGAACGGGTCACGGGAGACCCGAACACAACATAAGGGTTCAAAGGGTCCATTTACATCAGGCATTAGACCTGCCTAATAAGTGAAGTAAAGAAGAGCCCGGTCATGGGGAGGTTTCAGGACAGAGCACTGATCTGGGGTCACGGTGACTGTTGTTGTGAGTAGCATTTGATTATCAAACAAACCTTGTACCTTGAATATCAAAGGATTAAAGCAGCAAACCGGGCGGGGCTGGTTGTTAGGTATCTAGCGAGCCCTTGCAGTTCTAGGGAATGAAATGCAGAAAATGAATCATCAGTAACTAGGCCGTCATGCTTTTTGGATATGTTTCTGTTGGAGCTAGTTGAGGTGGTTTGGCTATGTGATCAGGAAGCCTCTTCGTGGAGGAGTGGTGGGAACATCCAACTGGGTGGAGATCCCGCGCTGACCAGAAGGAAGGATTTCAAATCCCATCTGGTCTCAGAACGCGTGGGGTTCCCCAGAAAGAGATAAAGATGAAGGCATGTGGGAGAAGCTGCTCAGTTTCTGCCACTGAGAGCTGGATAACCCGTGGGAGATGTGAAGACTTTCAATGTGCTTGTTTAGTATTTAGTCCATGTGTGTGATATTACCTGCTGGTCTATGCCCACTGCGTCCAGCCCGTGGTACATGATGTTCACCCAGCCGTCTTTAGAGGCCAACACAAACAGCGACATCAGAGCCTGTAGGACACACACACACACACACATACCATGTATACATCACTTCAGGGGACATTTACTGGAGACTTATCCTAACCTTCACCATAACCAACACATGCCTTACCCTAACCCTTAACCTTACCCTAACCCTTAACCTTACACTAACCCTTACCCTAACCAAGTCTTCACCCTAAAATTAATGATCCCCCTCATGGGGTCCTCCAATTTGTCCCCATAAGGGAGGCGAGTCCCCACACGTGACTATGTAAACATATGTAGGTCCCCACAAGGATATTAATGCTAGGCCACACACACACACAAAACCCAAACGTTTTTAGTTTCACTCAACCCTAACCCTAACCCTAACTCAATCATATTTAACATAACATACTTACCGTAAAAATATTACTGAAAACAAATGACCCAAGTAACATTTGTAATTTGTCTTCTTATTTAGATATCTTTATCTACTCTTTAGATTTGGATATTTTATTGTTGAAATGTCAAATATATACTTACCGTTTATGTTTATTTCCTACTATTGATATATATATTTTGACTGTCGATGTTGATCATATTTAAATGAGATGTTTTCATGTGCAACGCCTCGTTTGTAAAGTAAATCTAATCTTATCTAATTTAGCAATGCACTTATTTCTTTCTGACAGCTTTAAACACCAACCTTTCTACATTTCTATAATATGATCTAAAGTCAAATATATTTATGTAAGAAGATAATTCTGTTAGTTAGTTGTATGTTAATGTTCTAGTGTACGACTCAATTCAACAATACCTTTTCAAAAGCTTTATCCTTTTACATTAACAGTTGAAATCATACCTTTTTTTATTTAATAACTTTTTTCTGGAACCATCTCTCTCTCTAAGATATTCTTCTTGTACTTCTATAGGAGACATTCTGTGCTGTACAGTGTGCTCATTATATAAGTTATGAGTAGGTTCACATAAATATGTTCAAAACCATCCAGACGAAGTTTCAGGGATGTATTTCCCTCTCTTGTACAGTACCTGTCCGAGGTTGTCAAAGTTGTATTTGTGGTGCACCCATCGATAGTTGGCAGCCAGACAGTCGGATTTGTTGGTGATGTTCTTCACGTCGAAACCCACGCAGTAGTAGAACTTCCCTTTGAAGAGCTGCGAAGGAAAACACACACACACACACACACACACACACACACACACACACACACACACACACACACACACACACACACACACACACACACACAGGAGATGAGAGAATGAGGCGTGCAGAGATGCATTTTGATGAAGTCATGACAACACTCGAGTGTTCCCAGTTCTTTCAAGCAGCTTTTTAAGTAATTTCGTAATTAGCGTCTGTAACGAGAGCGTGGATAAGCGAAGGCTCCAAAAACACTTGAAATCTCCTCCTGAGAGATGTTTTTAATTCTCAATCATTTTGAACACATCAAAGTGGGGAGTGGGTCAAATGAAGCTTACTGGAAGATGCAGAAGGAATAATAATGTGGGGAAGAACAGGGTGGGATTGTCAAGTAGATACAAAATAAATACTGGACTGCAATGTTGTTAAAACAACGGGGAAAACTACGGCTGCACAATTGGGAAAACTAATGAAGTTGCCTGTAAATACGATAACATACATATTATTATATAAACCTGTTGAGCTTTACTTCCAGTGTTGAAACTGCTTGTAATGTTGTTATTTTATGCTTTCTCAGTATTTAATACCGGTTTAACCCTGAAAGGCCCACTGTTGTAATTGTACAACATTACTTTAAGCCAGTGTTTCTCAAACAAGGACCACTTAACCAATAAAGAAAAACTCGCGGACCACCTAACTCAACAAATATCCCAAATCACATCGTTTTTCTAGAAAAGATTACAAATCGCCTGAAAATTGTATAAACAAGTGGCAACGCTCGCTCCATTGCAGAGATATTCCCGCGAGAGTGCGGAAAACTTAAATGTATTTATTTATTTCAAATGTGAAATTGTACCAATATACTCACGGACCACTAGGGGGCGCTCACGGACCCACTTTGAGAAGCACTGCTTTAAGCTATCCTAAAAAAGTCAGTAAATGTTTGTTTTTTCTAAAGACCACTTTTACATAGTCAATAGGTCCTTTTGTTCAGCCACAATGCTATTGGGTAGTACATGTGTTTATAGGTTTGTGGCCATACACTCACACAACTTCCGAATCTTCAAACGAGCATCTCTTTGTTTTATTGGACTGGATTTGTCAGATTCAAGTAAGTAAAATGGCTCAAAAAAAAATATGGGTGATTATTACAATGTCATAATATGTCAATACATTCATCAAATTAGATTTTGAGCAGTTTATGTCTTTGTTGTAATATTACAACACTGGGTCAGTATGGTGGTCAAAATAGCATGAGCGCCTGTCATGGACCCCGCCCTTCTTATATGTTCACATATGGAAATAAAACACTAATAGAAATATAATGTCTTTGATAATTCACTATCACTAAGTTCTAAATGTGTCCTCTGTTAAGACAATGGTTGAGGAAGAGGATAAGGGACAATCTGTATTTTTTCTGAATAAAAAAAAATCCGAATTCTGACTTTTTCTCAGAGTTCTGACTGCAGACTAATATTTATAATTTTTTGTCTTCATAATTCTAACTTTCTTTTCTCAGAATTTTGACTTTTTTAAATGTTTTATAAGAATTTTCTAAAATTCAAATGTTTTCTGTGAACTCAAATTTACGGAGCCCTGGAGGGTTCATAGAGAGAAAAATAAATAAAACGTGGCCACGTTTTACTTTCTCGTGCGCACGCTTTAGTAACTCGTGCGCACGCTTTAGTAACTCGTGCGCACGCTTTAGTAACTCGTGCGCACGAGTTACTAAACCGTGCGCACGAGTTACTAAAGCGTGCGCACGAGTTACTAAAGCGTGCGCACGAGTTAATAAAGCGTGCGCACGAGTTACTAAAGCGTGCGCACGAGTTAATAAAGCATGGCCTCGTTTTGTGTGTGTGTGTGTGTGTGTATGGGGGGGGCATTTGTTTATGATAGTATCGTTCGTTCCGGTGCACATCGAGATTAAGATTAAACACATTTCTTTCACTTGGGAATACACTTAACTATGGGGAACCAGATTTGTTTAAAGTACTGTTCGTGGTAATTTGAAAACAAATGCCGGTGGTGTCGGATACACACGAACACGCACACAGAGCGGAGCTGAGCACACACACACACATCATGCGCCCCGGTGACAGGACATCTCCTTCATAAAGCGAGGGGGAATACTCTGGTAGTTCGATGTGTGTATAGGTGTGTGTGGTTAAACGTAGCAGCCTCGATCTCTATTCAGCGGTTCTAATGAAGGGAAACGCAGTGAAGTAAACAGTAAAAGGCACAGCTCTTTGCAGCTGGTGCTGCTCTTCTCAGATTCTGCTGAGTTACACGTTACTGCCTCCAGTGCCCTGAACGACGAAGCCAGTTCAACAGACCCTGGACCTGGATATGTTCGATTTACCCGGCTTAACTGACCCTAACAAACGCGATGTCGATAAGCGGTCCTACGAAGCTGGTTATCAACTCAGTAAATCAACCAGGGTTTCTCTGTCCGGCTGAGAGCGCGCTCAGGTGAAAGGGACGGGGTTAGCAACATTTGACCAATCACAAACATGGAGACGCGTGCTGACAGCGCAGCATCATACTTCATGAATGAATAGTGTAAATAGCCAATCCTGCTTCGTAGTACAGGCCACTGGTGCCGCTGAGATTTCATAAAGTGAAGGAGGTTTTCCTTCTATAGAACAGCTGTGGGCAGCAGATACTGTGAGTCAAGGACAGGAATCCCTCAATTTAAATAAAACGAGGCCACGCTTTAGTAACTCGTGCGCACGAGTTACTAAAGCGTGCGCACGAGAAAGTAAAACGTGGCCACGTTTTATTTATTTTTCTCTCTATGAACCCTCCAGGGCTCCGTACAAATTTGTACTCAAGTTCTGACTTTTTTTTAAAAACATTTCTAATTCATTCAGAGTTTGGTTTCTTCAGATTTCTGACTGTTTCCAGGATTTTGCCTTTTTTTCATTTTCACATTTTTAATAAAAAATCTTAATATTTTCAGAACTTTGTTTTTTTTTCAGAATTCTGAATTTTTCTCAAAGTCAGATTTTTTAATACAATTTTCCAATTTTCAACAGAAATCTGACTTTTTCCAAGGTTTTGCATTTTCTTTTCATAATTTTGACTTTTTCCTCATTATTTTGACTTTCATAAGTGTTGACTTAAAGTGCCATGATTTAAGTGAACCCTCACATGCACTGTATATGTTGTTGCACAGGTTGAGGATCATCATAAACCCATGTGCAGGGATAACGCAAACGTTGGTCTTCTGAACTCAGCAGGTCCAATGGAAACTGAGTAAATGTTGGATTGTGCTCTAATGAGCCGTGCTTTCACTGAGGGTGAAACAGGGCCTCATGTTCTCCACCGTTCATGTTTAATGATTCCTGTTTTTGCTTGAGGTGGAAGTTAGGAGCATGATTGTGACCTAGCATATTTCCACCCACTTTAATAATCATGCATAACAACTTAAATGGTGCCACGGCGTGCATAAGGGTCACTTTGTTAGCTTGTATGACTTTATTTAACATAGTTTGACGATCTCAAGGCCAACAAAACATGTTGCCGAGTCCTTAGACATGTTTTAAGACTTTTAGACTTCGTGCACTATTTTGTATTTTTGTATTTTATTATATATGTTGCATTGTTGGAGTCAGAATCAAGTCAGAAGAATTTAATTGCCATTTCTACACTGTAGCTTATGACAATAAAATAATACAACTTTGAATTGAATTGAAGACGTGCACAATCCTCAGAGAAATAAAAGACAAAAGAACTCCATGTACCTGAACACCAAGGATACCGAAGATGATGAAGAAGGCGCAGCAGATGAGCACGATGTTGCCGATGGGCTTGAGGGACGTGATGAGCGTCTCGACGACCAGCTTCAGCCCTGGAGCTCTGCTGATCACCCTGAAGGAGCGAGGGGGGTAAACAGAGACTCAGTGAGGCAAAGGGAGACCGAGGATAGGAACATTATGAAAACAAGTCAGAATTATGAAACAAATAAAGAATCATTGTTTTCAAAAAATTAACTCATTTTGAGAAAAGTTTCATTTTTGGAAAAAAGTCAAAATTATGACAAAATTCATATAAAAAAATCTGAAAATTTGAAAAAAGTCAGAATTTGAGACGAATAAAGAATTCGGAAAAAAAAGTCGGAATAATGAAAAAGTCAGAATTACGAGAAAAAAAGTCAGAATTCAAATGTGACCCTAATCCTCTCCCTTGAACATCGTCTCAAACATGTATCAAATACTGAGCAAGCATAAAACAACAACATTGAATCCAAAGCATCAGAAAGACTGATTTGGACCAAAACATGTGCATCAGACTAAACACTTTAAGTGCCTCCTGAATGACTTTTTGATTTCCAATATGTTTGTGAGAGGCAGACTGTTTAGCAAAGGAGTAGTTTGACATTTTGGGATATATGTATCTGCTTTGTGGTGGAGAGGTCTATGATGACACCACACTCGCCTGTATCGGAAATATGACCCAACCTTGAGAAGCCGATTAGCATAGCACATATTAGCATAGTGCAAAGATATAGGGGGCAACAGCTAGCCTAGGTCCGTCTGACTGAAACCCTCTAAAGCTCACTTATGGTATATCTGTTTAATCCGTATTGAAGATTCAATGAGGGGTTATCTATCTAGTCCAATAACTGGAGTCTCAACTTGTTGCCAGGCAACTGCTCTGATAGCAGGTGCGGATTTGAATACTTCTGGGTCATGCTTGCCGTTCTCCACTGCTTTTAAAATATAATACACTGTAGTTTGCCTTATTGCCTCATTGTCCTAAGTCAGTGGTTCCCAAACCTTTTCCCCCTTGGGTATTGGAAATATTTTCGGGCCCCCCCCCAACCTGGTTCCCATCTATATTGGTAGCATGAATTGTATATTGTTGTAAAAACATTACATGTTCTCTGCTAAGAAGATACAACTATCATTTTATATTTTATTATGGATTACACATGAACAAAAGTGCTTGTAATAGATACTGTGAATTCATTTGGCCTAATTAAAACTAGTAGGCCTTCTTCCCTGAGTAGATTTTTAAATTAAAATGTATTTTGTTTTGAGACTGCTTCTCAGTTCATTCTCAATGTTCAGCTTTGATCTGTATTTGGTTTTGATGGCAGCAGCAGCAGAAAAGCCTCTCACACAAGTAGGACGTTGCAAAAGGCAGCAGTATGCCCACAGCTCTCTGACCAATGACATATTTCCGAGCAGTGGGATTAGAGGGATCCCTCCTCTGTTGCTCTCCCTGAGGTTTCTCCCATGTTCCCTTTAAACTGTGGGTTTTCTTCGGAAGTTTTTCCTTGTACGATGTGAGGGTCTGAGGACAGAGGGTCTAAGGACAGAGGGTCTAAGGACAGAGGGTGTCGTATTGTCATACTGATATTTTGTACAAACTGTGAAGTCCACTGAGACAAATGTAACATTTGTGATATTGGGCTATAAATAAACATTGATTGATTGATTGAATTTCTTTCCTTGCCCCCCCTGCAGTACCTCCGCGACCCACCAGGGGTCTCGACCCACTGTCCTAAGTGTTTTAGTTTTTTAGCTTTTACGGTTATTTGTATAGTTAAATGTATTTACTTTTTTTTACCTACTTTTCAACTTGTTTTTTTAGATTGTTTGTGTTCGCACCAAAGCAAATATGTGTCAACGTACCTGGCAATACACTTGATTCAGATTCTGATTCCAGTTGTTGCATGCTAAGCTAAGCTAGCTGTCTCCTAATATGAAGGTAGCATCTTAGTGGGGACTCCATTGCCAAGTTAAGCTTTAACTATTGTATACAATAACAACAACAACATTCATCTTTGAACACACAAACCAAACAATTATTATTATGAATGTATCTTGGTGTATAAATGATAATGCTTATTAAAAAATATATAAATCCGAATACATCATGCAATGGAGTTGTTCTTCATGTTGCTATGCTTCCTTCCCTGATGAAAAACCCACCTGTTTCCACTGCACCAAAGAGTCATTGAACAAAATAAATGCTGGTACTCAAAGGGTTTTGCGCATTAGAAACATAAGCACCAGCACTAACAGTAACCACAAATGTGCCTGCTTGTTTTTTCACCGTTCTGAGTTTGTGTCTTCATGGTTTTATTGTACTTACACTTATAGAAGAGAAGAAATACTATTCTAAAAGGAGCTGACACATGGCGTCTCTTCACTTGTACACTTGAGGGGTCAGAGTTCATATGGTGAGGGATTCCATGAGCGATATGCGCCGGCCTGTGCCTTTACCTTGGACTTCTAATAGAACTGCTCGGGTCTTGATAGATTGAGTGGGGAAGTCCATGAGATCTTTCTAGAGGGTTATCAAGAATAACTTTTATCCAATGACCTTTCCCCTCTCTGTCTGTGTCTGTGTATTCTCTTGTTCCGATTAACCCAGCCAAATCTTTCTTCTTGTTTTGTATCTATATCTACGCCGGGATCCGGAGTCGAGGCTGATCCTCTTGCTGTAGTCCTGTGTCCTGGATCCTCTATCCTGAGTTCTGGATTAAGTCGTGGACTTCGGGTCGTGGCTGAACCTGTCTCTGCGGTCCTGCCTTGGGTCTCATCATGCTGCTTCCCTGATGGCTTCCTCAGGATTGTAGCTGACATCCTCGTGGATTCATCTTCTTATTACAGACACATGCATTTCCTAACATTCGGTCTATATGCTGTAAAATGTATTATCTCTTCTATTTCCACACGGCATCTATTGCACGTCTGTCCGTCCTGGGAGAGGGATCCCTCCTCTGTTGCTCTCCCTGAGGTTTCTCCCATGTTCCCTTTAAACTGTGGGTTTTCTCTGGAAGTGTTTCCTTGTACGATGTGAGGGTCTAAGGACAGAGGGTCTGAGGACAGAGGGTCTGAGGACAGAGGGTCTAAGGACAGAGGGTCTAAGGACAGAGGGTCTGAGGACAGAGGGTCTGAGGACAGAGGGTCTAAGGACAGAGGGTCTAAGGACAGAGGGGCTAAGGACAGAGGGGCTAAGGACAGAGGGGCTAAGGACAGAGGGGCTAAGGATAGAGGGTGTTGTTTTTCTCATACTGATATTCTGAACAATCTGTGTTGTTGTATTTGCTGTAAAGCGTCTCTACTGTAGGTTATTTTTATTATATGTACAGAACTTTGGCTCCACCAAAAATCGTTTATAAATGTGCTATATAAATAAAACTTGATTTGATTATTGGAAGTGGCTTTTGGATGGAAGGGTCAGCTAAAGGAAGTGTAATGTCATTCCTAATTAGTGATTTCACAAAACATGTCAATAAGCTTTGTTTGATTGGTGTGACCACAGAGAGCGTCTTTTCTTCTCACCTGAGGGGGCGGAGCGTCCGAAGCAACCTGAGAACCCGGAGAACCCCGAGGATCTTGGCTCCGCCCGCCATGGACACCACGATGTCGATCAGGGACACGAACACGAGGAAACCATCGAGGATGTTCCAGCTGCTCCTCAGATACGCTTTCTCCCCCACGTACAGGCCCATGGACACCACCTGGGGACATGCAGAAGCACACACTTTGATATGCACATTCCCCACTTAGCTCCTCAAACAGCTATTTTATTTCATGTCAGCTGGCAGGAGAGGAGACATTTGAACATCCTGAAGATGAAAGTAAACTCAGGATGGGAGGAGGAGGCGTGTGATAGAGGGAGAAGTGTTGAATCAGAAAGAGTTACATTTCCAAAGAGATGAAAGGAGGGAATATGAGGACATAGAGGATAAAAGAGTCTCCTGTTATACTGCTCTTCATCAATATATCACAGGTCTCAGATATATCCAGAGCCTGTCTCTGATTGGCTGAAACACCAAACAGGTCATTGCAGCATTACCCATAATCCCCTCTGTTTCAGCCCTGTTTCCAAAGTGCTGATTCTCTGTCTGTTACTTTAGATGAAAATAAGGAGCCCCTCCCCACGCCCCTCTTAGAGACATTTGGTTACAAAGAACTCAATGGTGCTCTAGGAGGAGATTCAGGTGATAAGGGGGGGGGGTTACCTTGGTTGCTGATTGGCTAATGGTTACACAAGACAACACATCGTTATGACATCATCAAGTGGCCAAAAGAAGAGGGGACACATGTTGATGTATAAGAGACATGAAGAAGAGGGGACACATGTTGATGTAGAAGAGACATGGAAGAGACATGAAGAAGAGGGGACACATGTTGATGTAGAAGAGACATGAAGAAGAGGGGACACATGTTGATGTAGAAGAGACATGAAGAAGAGGGGACACATGTTGATGTAGAAGAGACATGAAGAAGAGGGGACACATGTTGATGTAGAAGAGACATGAAGAAGAGGGGACACATGTTGATGTAGAAGAGACATGAAGAAGAAGGGGACACATGTTGATGTAGAAGAGACATGAAGAAGAGGGGACACATGTTGATGTAGAAGAGACATGAAGAAGAGGGGACACATGTTGATGTAGAAGAGACATGAAGAAGAGGGGACACATGTTGATGTAGAAGAGACATGAAGAAGAGGGGACACATGTTGATGTAGAAGAGACATGAAGAAGAGGCGACACATGTTGATGATAGAAGAGACATGAAGAAGAGGGGACACATGTTGATGTAGAAGAGACATGAAGAAGAGGGGACACATGTTGATGTAGAAGAGACATGAAGAAGAGGGGACCACATGTTGATGTAGAAGAGACATGAAGAAGAGGGGACACATGTTGATGTAGAAGAGAATGAAGAAGAGGGGACACATGTTGATGTAGAAGAGACGTGAGGGAAGAGGGGACACATGTTGATGAAGAAGAGACATGAAGAAGAGGGGACACATGTTGATGTAGAAGAGACATGAAGAAGAGGGGACACATGTTGATGTAGAAGAGACATGAAGAAGAGGGGACACATGTTGATGTAGAAGAGACATGAAGAAGAGGGGGACACATGTTGATGTAGAAGAGACATGAAGAAGAGGGGACACATGTTGATGTAGAAGAGACATGAAAGAAGAGGGGACACATGTTGATGTAGAAGTGACATGAAGAAGAGGGGACACATGTTGATGTAGAAGATACATGAAGAAGAAGGGACACATGTTGATGTAGAAGAGACATGAAGAAGAGGGGACACATGTTGATGTAGAAGAGACATGAAGAAGAAGGGACACATGTTGATGTAGAAGAGACATGAAGAAGAGGGGGACACATGTTGATGTAGAAGAGACATGAAGAAGAGGGACACATGTTGATGTAGAAGAGACATGTAGAAGAGGGGACACATGTTGATGTAGAAGAGACATGAAGAAGAAGGGACACATGTTGATGTAGAAGAGACATGGAGAAGAGGGGACACATGTTGATGTAGAAGAGACATGAAGAAAGAAGAGGGGACACATGTTGATGTAGAAGAGACATGAAGAAGAGGGGACACATGTTGATGTAGAAGAGACATGAAGAAGAGGGGACACATGTTGATGTAGAAGAGACATGAAGAAGAGGGGACACATGTTGATGTAGAAGAGACATGAAGAAGAGGGGACACATGGTGATGTAGAAGAGACATGAAGAAGAGGGGACACATGTTGATGTAGAAGAGACATGAAGAAGAGGGGACACATGTTGATGTAGAAGAGACATGAAGAAGAGGGGACACATGTTGATGTAGAAGAGACATGAAGAAGAGGGGACACATGTTGATGTAGAAGAGACATGAGGAAGAGGGGACACATGTTGATGTAGAAGAGACATGAAGAAGACGGGGACACATGTTTGATGTAGAAGAGACATGAAGAAGAGGGGACACATGTTGATGTAGAAGAGACATGAAGAAGAGGGGGACACATGTTGATATAGAAGAGACATGAAGAAGAGGGGACACATGTTGATGTAGAAGAGACATGAAGAAGAGGGGACACATGTTGATGTAGAAGAGACATGAAGAAGAGGGGACACATGTTGATGTGGAAGAGACATGAAGAAGAGGGGACACATGTTGATGTAGAAGAGACATGAAGAAGAGGGGACACATGTTGATGTAGAAGAGACATGAAGAAGAGGGGACACATGTTGATGTAGAAGAGACATGAAGAAGAGGGGACACATGTTGATGTAGAAGAGACATGAAGAAGAGGGGACACATGTTGATGTAGAAGAGACATGAAGAAGAGGGGACACATGTTGATGTAGAAGAGACATGGAGAAGAGGGGACACATGCTGATGTAGAGGAGACATGAGGAAGAGGGGACACATGTTGATGTAGAGGAGACATGAGGAAGAGGGGACACATGTTGATGTAGAAGAGACATGAAGAAGAGGGGACACATGTTGATGTAGAAGAGACATAATAGACCTTTAAATGACACACAGATGTTGAGACGTTGTGTGTGAAGCTGCAAAAGTTGCAGTGGCACATATTTCATTTTCTCTCTCAGAGTTAGAGTGTGTCATCTTTCAGCCGCAGCTGGTGGGAGGTCCTGCTCACCAGGACAGCTCTGATGGGGATTGAACCAGAAAGAGAGGAGGAGGAGAAGGATATCTTAAGAAACTAAAATAAGGGTATGGGCGAGGCTCAAAGAGAAAGTTTGAGTTTGTGGGGTTGGAGGGAAAGTTGCATGGCAGATATTGTTGACATCATTTGAAATCTGCATGGTGTGTCTGTCATGTTGTAAGAGAACCAGCAAAGGATCAACGTCTCGTCTTCCTTATACGGCAATAAGATGCCACCAAAGGCGTATGTGGAGCGCTGGAGAAATCTAGGCGTAAAGAAGCTGTTAGTGCATCTGTTTTGGGAACGTAGTGATGATGGCACTCTGCTGCAACGTAAGCCACTGAACATGAATCTGTTGGGTACCTGGAGGCGTGAAGGGAGCTCTGCAAACATTTCAGGATCCCTCGAGTCAGCTTGGATTCAGAATACGAATGAATCCCAAAGTGACAAAGAGTCGTTGTTGGGAACGCGTCAAACTGTAGGAAAACATAACTCCTATAACCCAATCCACCTCTTGTCGCTCTGCATGGTGCCACCTTCTCCAAAAAACACTATATTATATATTTGCAAGCATGTTTTGAAGCCACTTTAACTTTATCAGTGTTCTCTTTTCAAGCATGCTGGCCAGACAAGTGAAGGGAAGTGGTTTCAGACGTTTCTAGACATGTTCGCTGACCATTGGTTCTAACATCGACAAATTGAAGAACTTAGGAACTTCACAGTTCATCTTCAATCGCAACGAGGCATTATCAACGAGTGCCTCAACAGCACTCCTCTGTATGCGCTTCCTCTCAAACAGAAGGTGATTGTGATTGGCCTGGCAGATCCCAAGACATCCCAATATCTGTCCAAAGAGGAGACGGATAACACCAAATAAAACATGAGCACAGGGTTCCACCGCAACATTGAAGAGCCATTGGTTCGCCGCTGAAGTCCATTACTACAGTTGCCAATCAAAGCTGACTGAAGAGGAGAACTAGCAACTTTTCAGAGCCACACTTCAAGCTCCAGGCTGAGTTTGATGTTCGAAAGCAAAAAACGTTAAAGTGAGCTTTAGAGTAGATGGGTTTATTTACAGTCAGACGGACCTAGGCTAGCTGTTGCTCCCTATTTCTAGTCTTTAAGATCTGCTAATGTGTGCTATGCTAATTGGCTTCTCGAGTTTGGGTCATATTTCCGATACAGGTGAGTGTGGTGTCAAGGAAACAAATGTATGCCTTCGCTCTGCATTGGGCCGATCGGCTCGCTACTCCCTAAATGTGAGTTGGACTCAGGTTCCCCTCAACGAACCTGGGTCTAAAATGGTGAAACAAAATCCCCATTGATATGACACCTTCCTTCACAGACTAAAAGCCCACTTGTTGCAACTGATCCTTGGTCATTACACAAAATACATGGCGGTGCCCAAAGGGTTTGGCTCAGTTCCTCGCTGTTCTGAGTTTGTGTCTTCATTGTTTTATTGCACTTAAACAATGCAGACACTGGGCGTCAAAGAAAGACTGAGAATAAGGAAATACATAGATGAAGGATGAAGAAAGAGATTTATGTATGAAAAACCTAATTGAAGGAGTCAGTTCGCAGGTGTTAGGAAAAATATCACTCGTCCCCGGCTTGAGCTTCAATCTCAGGATCCATGTATCTGTGATCCTCTCCAGAATGGAAGGAGTCATCACATACAGAGCATCAACTAGTTCCTGAACAGTGTCCTTCACATGCTGATATCCAAGAGAGGGAGTTACACAGTCACAAGATGGAGGAATACCGGGTCTTCTAGGTAATCATCCTGTCAGGTACAAAATACTGAGTTTTTCTCAAAATCTCAAATTCTGAATTTTTCTCAAAATTCGGACTTTTTCTCAAAATTCAGACTTTTTCTCAAAATGTAGACTTTTTCTAAAAATCCTAACTTTTTCTCAAAATCTCAAAGTCTGAATTTTTCTCAAAATTCGGACTTTTTCTCAAAATCTAAAAATTCAGAATATTTTCTCAAAATCTCACTTTTTTTAAAAATCTCAAAATTCAGACTTTTTCTCAAAATCCTGA